ATTTGAGATTTTTGGAACGTTGTGATGATTGGTTGGCAAATTGATAATCTAATACAGTTGACCCCCCCCCCCCGAGATACGAACGGCTCGACATACGAATTTTCGAGATACGAACGCCCTCCGTAATGTATTCGACAAACGAATAAAATTCAACGTACTTGCGCAGAACGCATCGTTCAGAGCTGCAAGTTTATCAGGCCAGGATTATTGGTCAGTTGGAACACATTGTCGCCATGCCAACCGACAATTCACTCTCGTCGTCTGCATTACAGGCAAGGAAACACCAAGAGGAGGGTGGACCAATTCGAGATGTTGTAATCGCCATGGCGACCGCACGACCAACCGACCGATCGATGGAGAGACAGCGCAGCAGCAGCAGCAGCGACGCACGCACGAGAGAGAGAGAGAAAGGATGGACGTCGCGGCAGAACTGGCCGTCGCCGAGAACAATCGGACCCGGCACGCAGGATGATGGGCCGAACTTCATAGCACGCAGCCTTCATACGCGGACTTCGCACGCGCAGCCAGAAACCATCGCGGCTGAGAAAGGGGGAGATGGCAGGGGGGTGGGCAGCGTGTTTGCAAGCTGGGGTGGTGGGGAGAGGTTGGAGGGGGTGTGTAGGGGGGGCGCAGGGGTAGCCTCACGCCATTTAAAATTCGGTAATCTCGTTACGCTCCGTGTAATCCTTGGGCCAAATCTTTTTTCTGTCTTTATTAAATAACCCTACCCTGTTTTCTATCCCGGGGTGGGGCCTGCGGTGCGGGGTCCGGCGGAAACCAGGCGGTCGTGCCGCTCTCGCCAGGGTTGCAGCCACGGCGGCACCATGTCGCTGGGTGTTGTAGGAGAAAGGAATCTCTGGAGGATTATTATCTCTGATTATTTCGCAGTTACTCACAGAGCTTGTTACGCGTGCAGCGGGAACACGCCCGTACGCGGGGCGCGTAGGTGCGCCGTCAGGTAAATAAATACGGCGGGAGCGATGAAGCGTCGCTCTCAAAACCTCCGAAATCGCCTCGTGAGCCAAAATAGGCTCCCGTAAAAATCTGCAATATCTTTTCGCCCAACAGATGAAAAAGAGCCAGTGTAAAAAAAAATAATTTTTCCCACTGCTGCGGTATGGCGGGCGGCTCTACTATAGATAGAGGGGGCCCTGGCGTGCGTGTTAGTGTGCGGGCGGGCTTACTAGGTAGGAGTAAGATGGGGTGAGCCAGAGATGCCAACCACTACGATTTATCCGTATTTTATAAGAATTTCTATTCCTTTTGCACCACTACGACCAGTTTGTATCAAACTACGAATTTCACTGTGATCGAATATCTTTTTTTTTGTGTCAATTATTGTTATTTTTTGTCAATTTATTGTCATTTTTGAGTCAGAATGCAGAATGCAAGAAATTGCATCTCAGAATCAAAAAAAATTTCGGGGGGCATGCCGGACCCCCTCCCCTCCCTCTAGCAAACTCGGGTCAGTACGTTACCCTCGAACTACTAATTTGATGGCCGGAAACTACAGATTGCTTCAAATATGTGTTGGCATCTCTGGTGAGCAGTGATTGGCTAGCGGTTTGGGACTAGCGATTGCTGCATCGCAGCCGCGTTCGGAAGACGGAGCGCGGAGAAAAATCAAGGCGAGTGCAAAAGCTGAATGAAATACTCTCAAGGCATGATTCGATGCTTTTTAGCACTGGCAGGTTGCAACTGCTGCTGCTGCTACAGCTGCTGCTGCTGCTGCTGTTGTTGCTACTGCTGCTGCTGTTGTTGCTGCTGCTGTTGCTGCTGCTGTTGCTGCTGCTGTTGTTGTTGCTGCTGCTGCTGCTTGGTGAACGGGTCGGGCGTGCGCGCGTTGGCAACAGACAGCACCGTCGTTTCTTTATATAACACGATATTTTTTTATAAACTAGAATACGAGTAGCGGTTCTAATGTAATCTGTACGCAACAGCAGCGATGCACTCTTGTTTACGCAGTTGTGAACTGTAGGTGGCGCTGACTGAGAGACCGCTGGTGGGAGATGGAGACTTTATTGCACAGTTAGCCGTTGGCCTTCCATATCTATATATACATATATATGTGTGGGGAGAAATGCGTTCATAGAGTAATAGTGAGAGTGTTAACGCACGTGTTATGTGTCGAATACAGGTGTGTGTGCATCGTTTTGAGTTTCGCCTACATGCACTACATTAGTGTAACCAAAGGTGTAACGCTTTCTCTACAAGATTCGAGCGATGTGGGGGTTGGTGCGTTACAGATGATGTAGTAGTGCGTATACAAGGCCGTACGCAGGAAATTTTCTGTAAGGGGGCAAAGGTACTCCCCATGCCCCCTGTGCCCTAACGTTTCGCAATTTCACATTTCTTTATTTAAAGTGTAATGTTTCTTTGATGATTTAAGATAACCTTTTGTCACATTTCTATTTTATTTCTGAAAGCGTACAGTATTTGTCCCATTAAAAGGCATACTCTGAAAATCTCTAGGGGGGCAACTGCTACTGCTGCCCCCCTGCTGTGTACGGCCCTGTGCGTATGTACTAGGCTTCAGTGGTTTATAAGCGTACGAACGACGTCGTATCATTACGTACAGTCAAACCTGTGTCCACCTCTCCAGAAGGGCCATCTACAGCACTGCCACCTCTATAGAACAGCCACCAAAGCGCTGCCACCTCTGTAGAAGGGCCGCCTGTCTGTGTGCTTTTAGCGTTTCCCTTGAGTGGCAGATATACATTGAAACCACCTTTATAGGAGTGATCACCACCTGTCCATAAAGGCCACTAATGGTGTTTCGCTGTCGCGTACAGGTTTGATTGTGCATACGGCATTGATGTATGCTTGGATACGGGTGGCTAGTATGTCTGTCTGTGTATGCTTGTACGAATGGGGTTTATGCTCATGACT